GAACACACAAACAAACAACATCTAAGTCAGAGAAGAATGAGGAGCACTGCTCCCACACGTGTTTTGATTTGTTTGCTTTGTGTGCTGTCACGCAGTAGAGCAAGAGGAAGCAGAGCAGCAACACTTCTACAGAGGGATGAATGAAACTGCCTGGATAAAGAAAGGATCAGTGGCCCTCAAGCAATATCCTGGTCAGCCAATTGGAAACTGCAGAGAAGGTTTGATCCAAAAATGTTATTAAATCCAGGGAGAACCCAGTCAGTTTCTGGATGGGCCTGCTGGATCTTCCAGCACTTGTCCTAGCTAATTTGTTTGTTTGATTCCTGATAGATTTATGTTTGCTAATTTCTAGACATGCCTTTGTATGGTGATGACTTCAAAACTAAACTTTATCACACAGTATACTCCAAAACTCCTAAATTCCACAACTCTCTGGTGCCACAGGCTGGAGATCAAGCTCAACTTCATGTAAGTCACAGGCTGCAGGTGCATCTAACTCAGTACACAACTAACAGGACCATAGAATCATAGAATCATAGAATGTTTTGGGTTGGAAGGGACCTTTAGAGGTCATCTAGTCCAACCCCCCTTTTGCATTACAGTCCACGTATTTATGACCTTTTTCTTTTTTGTTCAACATTAAAAACGCATCACTGGGCAAACTAGGAACATCAGAGGTTTCACTGACTGGGTGCAACACCTAGAAAGGCACAACAGGAAGGTTGTTCCTCATCTTCAGGGGAGAAAAAACTTTTTCTCAGGATTTCCACACACTAAGACCCAGTATGCAAGGCTAAAAAGCATAGTAGACAATTCAGACTGTCTTCCTACAGCAGAGGACTTCCATACACGTGCTTCTGTTGGAATGGAAGGACATCTTTCAGAAGAACATTCTACCTTCAGTTGTGTTAGTGCCTAATCCACCACAATCCTTCATACATTTTAATGACAATAACTCCATTCATTTCCAGAAAATGCTCTTTCCATAGCTGAAGCGAAAAATTAGGCTGACAAAGAAACATACGGCTTATAGCTTTATGCCTCATCCATAATCAGCTGTTAATTCTAAACTATAAGCAATTCACAGTCAACTTTTCAATTTCTTTTGTGACTTTTTGTTTTGAAGAATGAAGAACTTTTAGGACAGGTGCCCAGTCTACCAATTCATAAATTGGCACTTTTCTTCCCCCAAGGAGAGAAGGAAACATTCTCCAAAACAGAGCAAAAAACTTTGCCAGAACACAGAGCCCAGGTCAGGTGATCAAGCCTGTAAGTCATTGCAAAATGTATTGTTTTACTGCTGTTTTGCCATAGACACTTCTTATTTGATGCAGGAATTGTACACACTTTGATATTGGTTATAAGCACCACATCTGAAAAAGATAGTAAGAGATTAAAACAAGATGATCCAACGGAATTTGTTTTGCACATTAAAAACAAAACCTTACCAGGCAGCTTCTCTCTGTGTCTGAGTCACAAGCACACTCATAACTGGAATTTTCCCCATGCCTCTTGCCAGCCAAGAGCTCGTGGCTTTAAATTTATTCTTTCAATGTCATACAATTTATACGTAATGGGTATGGAGAATATCATTGTTACACATGTCAAGCCATGGGGACTTCAGAGAGTGTACAGTTTGAGGCAGCAGGCCCAGAAGCTGAACTGATGAGCTCTTGCATAGCTTTTGATGAACTGGTTCTATTAATGGACTGGATCAATGTCACTGCAAATAGCAATGAAAACTGAAAATCCGCCTGTTCTACAGCCTATATTACATAAACAGCTGCCCAGTGCATGAAGGAAAAAACAGATTAATGTCTCACTAATGCTGCCTATCATGAAAACCCTGCAGATTTCAAATGCTCTGAGAAGAGCCAAGAAATGCATTCTTGGCACAGCCTAAAAGTCTATACCCTGCCCTCAATTTTCACTGACATCAATGGGAATTTCTGCACTTGAGGACGAATCCCACGATTACTGAAAGCAATAGCTGCTCTCCTATTTATTTCCAAAGGAGTGGTCTTCAGGTAAAACTGGATGGAACATCTTAGCCAACCTAGCCAACATCTTGTCAGTAAACTTCAGCCTTCAGACATCTGTGTGAACTACAGATCAGGTAAGCAAACAAAATACTTCTATTCTACCATAATCCTGAATCTTGGATTCATCCAGGAACCTTTCAGCCACAGATTCACTTTGGGCATCAGTACAGCAACCAACAGGTAATTTGTATAAATCCTTTGGCAAGGTACTGCTTCACTGAGTATATAAATGCTCTTCTCTTCTAGGGTTAGCAGAAGTGTTCATTATCAAAACTGATAATGTAGCAATTAAACAGCTAGTTTAGAAAAATGCTTAAGATGATAGAAAATTAATACAAAACTGCAGGTCAGAATTGTTGCCTCTAGGAAATTAAAATATTTCTTGGCAAACATCCAAGATTATAATTTTGTTCCTTTATCTCAATGCACATGTTACCTCCTATAGCCATCTCGGGATGTACATGAGCAACAGGACATCATCCTCACATAATAACTTTAACAGAACCAGCAAATTGATCATTGCTCATTCGTTTTGCTTTGCAGAGCAGTGTGGAGACAGCTTGTTTCTGAGCTTCTGCCTTATGCCAGTACTTCTACTAGTCCTTTTTTCCACAAGTCATGTGGGCTTTAACCAATTTGACAAAGGAAGCAAACAGGAGAAAGCCAATTCAATACACCCATGCAGCTTCCACGTAGCTGGAAAGCAGGGTGCTGGTGCAGGACTAATTCATAATGACACTAGCACATGTCAGAAAGATGTCCTTCTCTGACGCGTCCCCTCAGAGCTAAACCAGAGGCATGTGTCGTTTAATTGCTATGGGACACACCAAGATTGTGTGTGCAACCCTCCTTCAGGATGAGGACTGCCTACCTTGCATGGTCACTCACTTGGGTCTCTTGGCCAATGCTTGCCTCTTGTGTCTCTTCCCTGTCCCTAAACTCCTGTGCCTGCTCACTGGTGTCAAAGCAAGGGGATGCCCCATGCTCTGCTTCTCCTACTAACACCCTCCAGGCACCCCAGGCAGCCTTTTGGTGAAGGCAGTGCTGTCTGTGGGCTCAGCACGGTTCCTGATGAAGATCCTGGCTCTTCCCTCAGACCCAGCAGTCAGGTCCATTATGATGGTGTTTCCATTTCTAATGGATTATGCCCTTTAAGGAGAGAATCTGTTTCGCTGTCACGTCTCCAAACTCATGTGGGTTTGCCCTGAACTTGGGGGAAAACACAGTCCAAAAGGAGAGGCATTTTCCCACTCTTTTAATTAAAATCCTGACCCAGTTCTGGATACTAAAGCTCATTAACTGACCAGACCTCTGATGCCTGAAATGTGCCCTGGGAGAGGAAGCAGACTGCACTGGCTGGGGACCAGTCTGTGGAGGGGGCAGCACCCAGAGGATCCTTATCTCCTTCCCCCCATTCACTGATGAAACTCAGGAACAACTGAAAAATCGGTTCCACTAAGAAAGGCCTTCACTGCTTTCTTTTTCCTGACAAGAACTGCACGTGAGTTTTTATCTAAAATCATTGCTCAAATTATTTTGACTTTGCTATAAAAAAAAAATAAAGCTTTGAAAATATTAAAGCTGTGCTTTAAAAGTAATAAACAGAGGCCAGCATTATAAATGTTGAGGAAAGCCAACAAGGAACGGAGAAAAAAATATTTGGAAAATCAAAATAGCAGCATTTTTCAAACTGTTTTATCCTGAAACTCTGAAACTAGAGAAGAAGTAGCACCATAAGGCACCTCAGCAGTGTAAGCACTTGGGCCAAGATTATCATCAGTTTGAATGAGTGGATCCAGCACAGATTTTACACATTTGGGACTTGATGTAGTTTCTGGGCCCAGCTTCAGCACGTCATTGAAGCATATGCCTGACCTCACACATGTTAAGGAGCCTGGCCAGATGCAGGAGGGAGAGAGGGAACCTTTCAAGAAGTTAGACAACTCTGAAGTTTGAACAGCGCCTGAAACTAATTGCAGGACTAATGCTGAACCTCTTAAAATGGAAGCTCACAACAGAAAATTAGAAACCTCTTTCAGAAATCAGGACCCGCCTGATCTAGATTTAGCTAGGCATAAATATTTGCACTGCTCTTTGAAAGGGCATTTGCTTTGGGATTAAATATTCATAGTTAACCAGCCATGCTTAGTCATTCTATTTTAATATTAAGCCGCACTATGCAGAGTGGTAACTCCAGTGAATGGTAGCACCAAGATTTAAGAAAAAATATCGTAGTGTTATTACAGAGAAGCAATAAACAGCGTATTTTCATAAGTTTTCTGAACATGGTGAATGCTCAAAGAAGGCTGACTGAAGTGTGATTTTCCTGCATTGAGTAATTTTAGATTATTATTTACTTGGAGTTATTTTAAATTTATGATACTAAGGGGGTAGGAGTGGTAGTAGGAGGAGGATACTAAAAATAATGATAAAAGAGGCGTGTGAGGGGGATGCATGTGTGTGTGCATACACAAATATGTGCATATGTATGTATGCTAAATATCCGTGAGAATTAATCCAAAATACTGGGAGGGGAAGGGATCTGTATACACAGCAAGCTGCAGTCAGGATAATTACCTTCAGATTTTGGAAGCCAAAAAAGTAAAACAAACATGCATCAGTCTAGTTTGGGTGGCAGCCTGAAACAAGGTATATTATATGGGTGCCCTACCAGAGAAACCAAGGCGAGCCTGGAGAACAGCATTGCTTTGTTCACCCAACACATGAATGGAACATGAGGGGATAGTTTGTGTGGGAGCACTGAGCTTCCATTGATTAATTAAGAATTAATCTTCCTCGTTTTAAAATGAGCACGCACAGGCTTTCCTTTGCAAGTAGGATATTTGTGGATTATTTTGCCATTCCTTGAATTAACAGGGGGCTGCATAATTCTGGAGACAGGGACGAAACAAGGTATCAACCTTAGCAGCCAGGATTTTGCTGTCGTTCCAGCCATACTTTTAGATTCCCTAACTGGCTCTGGTAGATCTGGAGCAATAAAATCCCAGTGCCTGAGGCCCTTCAGCATGTATGCATGGCACCTAGTATTTGCCATTGGCAGGCTTTTGGCCACTGTTTCAATGATGGGGTCAAACCAAAACCCAGGACCCAAGCTGTTCACAGCCAGATCCAGGTGTCTTCAGTTTGCCCCATTGCTCTTAGCTCAGGATAAGTACAGCTCTGAATCAGCTGCCTTCCTGTTTTAAAGCTATTTAAGGAATTTCTAACATACTTAAAGTCTGTACGTGTAAATATTTAAAAAAAAAAAAAATGAAAAATTAACGCATTTTTTAGGGAAACAGCTGACCTATGGTAATTTCTAGCTGGATCTAATACACCTGATCCTGTTTCCAGAAGAAAGTCAGTGGTCATCTTAGAAATAGGGTTGCACCCTAAGTAACCTCTGATAGGCCCAGGCCAAATGTAACCTACAACAATCTTTTGATGCTTACTAGGGAAATGGACACTCCTCTCCACTTTCTACAGTACAGGCATTCTGAATAAGAAATAAAATTATTTCAGCTACTGAGTCAGTCATCCCTCCTCCCTCTCCACAAAATCTTGCTTAACCCAACTTCTCTTACAGGATATATGAACATTGAATGCTTCATTGCCTACATTTGGGTTCCCCTGCAGTCCACTGGTCTCAGCACTCTGAAACTGATGATGATTTATACCACAAAGCAAACACCTTCTGTAAATAAGAGACAGACATTGAGCACATAAAGACCAGAAACCGAAAAATCAATCCGGTGTTTTGTTTAGCGGACAGAAAACGTTCAAGTCCTCAAAGAGAAAAGCTTTGTTTAGCTGAAGAATCAAGCAATTCAGATGGAAAATCAGAGGAAAGGGAGAGGCACAAAGACATAATGCTGCAAAATGCTTCCCTGTTTGCAGCTGCAGCTCTCTCTGATCAGGATCTTTGCAACAAGTTTCCAGGGCCACCGGCTTCCTACTTGCCCGTCTCCACAAGCCATAGTGTATAACCCACGGGTCTGGTGGGACTTTTCAAACAAGAAACAAGCTGGCATCTTGGAAAACCGTCAGTCAGAAGGAAAAACATATTTGGGAGTCCTTACTCAGACAAATACCCCACCAGAGCCACAGCAGCTGTGGACAAGGACCCTCCACAGATCATCCCTTTCACCATCAGCCAGCAATGGGAGCAGATGTGGACAAACTTTCTCTGTTTCTCACTCTGTTTTCCTTTCCTTTCCCTCCTCCCGCCTTTTGGGTCACCCCCTAGGATGTTTTTGTCGACATCAGTGTGATACTTCAGGTTAATTCAAGTTAACCAGGTATGCACAAGGTGCTGCCATGTGGAGCTGGACCTGGTGCAAGGGTTACTCACCTTCCACTACCACCGTTGCGGGTTTCGAATAGGCTGTGCCCAGGCTGTTCTTGGCTACACATCGGTATTGTCCTGCATCTTCTCTCTGAACATTGTGGATCCTTAAATTCCCTGAATCAAGGACAGCAATGCGAGCATTCTCCTGACAGAGAAAGGAGGGATGAAGGTGAGGGCTCTACATGTGGGCTGCACACAAGGAGCACCAAATGTCCCCTTGCAAAGATTGGGCTTGCATGCATGAAAATTATTTGTGTTGTCCTGCAACTGAAGGCTTTGGGACCAGCTCTTCCTGCGGCTCGGTAGCTCTTATTTATGAGAACACTCACAAGTGCATTCAGCAGCATTTGGCCACGCTTAGTAGTAATAAATATATATAATATAAAGTATAGATACACAGAGAGTACTGGATTTATAGGCAAAATTATTGCAGATGCAGACATTTACAAGATGAGCCCTGGATTTTCCAGATGCTTGCTTCCTAGCAACTAGAATTTACAAATGCTGTAATTGATGCTAATATTTTAACACAGTACCTTTAGCGAATAGTTAGCATTACTTAAATTTCATTCTCTACTCACCTTTACAACTGTTTCTCCTTTGATCCATGAAACAGATGGCTTTGGATTCCCCATTGTAGTGCACGGAAGAACAGCCTTTAACCCTTCTATTATTTCCACATTTATAGGCGGTCGTGTTATTTTGGGTCCTAAAATATTAAAAGTCAAAAATTAAAGTTGAACTGAAGGTAAGAGATACTAGAACAGAACAAGTTCAGAAATTGTAACAAAATCTCTGCTGCTTTTTCTGTACCTTGCTGAAAGGTGGAGAGATCCTAGTAGGTCATGAGCTGCCTTGGAGAGGAAAAACTTTCTTAAGCACAGCATTCAGAGTTCCACTTTATGGACACAAAAGCAGCTAACATCCATGGGTTATTTGTTTTCAGGAGTGGAGTTTGACAGTCATTTGAATTAGGGCCTGGGCTAAAATCCAAATCCAGATAAGAGTATTTCCAATATTGAAGAATGTTTGCATTCCAGGTTTATACATTCTTCACTGCATAAACAGTGTCTTTTGTGAAAGCTCAGATCTGGAGTGAATTGATTTTGAAATAGTTTTAGCCCAGGCTTGTCTCTAGCTCTGCAAGAAGGGCATGTACACTCAATTAATGTTCCTAACTGAAGGATTTATAACTATGTTAATAAAAAGGAGAAAGGATCCTTAAAGAAAAAAACAAACAAACTCCCTTGAAGTTAATATGGGACAAATTTAAATTTATTTTACCCGAAGAAAAACATGGCCTAGCTTACTCTGAGCTGGGAATAAAAAAGAGCTTCATCTCAGTGTTTTGAGAGATCTAAAATTCTGCCTCCCTTGCAAAATACCAAACCAGCAGAAAAACAACCTTCAGGAGCATCACCTCCTGGACCCCACCTGCAGGCAGCTGGGGTGCTGGGGAGTCCCAGGATTACCAGACCTGCAGGGTTGTAGTCATGAGTGCAACAAATCCTTTCCTACAAATAGATGCTTTAGCCAGGATGTATCATCTCAGCTGCCTTTTTAAGTGTTTGTGTAAGTAACTGCAGCCATGTGAGTTCAGCTTCACCAAGCTCAGCATTTATATAGCCCTTTGCAAGAACCAGTCTTCTGCCTTCCACATGGGATGACGAGATTTACACCACAGTGCTCCAGACTGCTGTGGAGAACATCTGAACAGCATTTACTTGCTTTTGCCATCCTCAGGCATAAATCTGATTAGTGAAATCTTATGTTTAGAATCCACAAGGGATTTATGCAGTATTGCTACGGAGGTCTGATCTATCAAATTGTGCTGCTTCTACAAAGTTTTGTACAAAGGGTATTCTTCAAAGCATCAGGTTTTATCCTCTGCTATGCAAGCAGTTCCTCTGATCCTAGCACAAGTGTGTGTTATTCAAAGTGAATAATCTCAACTGCTTTTAGTTAAGATATGATCCAATATGCCATGTCTCTGCCTCAAGGAACGTGGGTCTGCACTGAACACAGACCCCTGGGGCCCATACCTGGGGGTCTGCTCAGGCTCTCAGTTGCAGGCTCACATGGTGTCAGGAAGCAATTACATTCCCACTTACGCATTTTCACTTGGAGAGCCCCACAGCTCTGCGCAGCCGCTCCAACCCCGTTATCCGCTGTGCAGCAGTACACCCCGTCATCACTGTCCTCCACGCTCAAAATGGTCAGGAGCTGCCCGTTCCCCTGTATGCTGTACCGGGTGTCGAACAGCCTGCAGGGCACAGCACAGATTGTCAGGGGCAGGGGGACAGCCAGGGACAGGGGAGGGGAATTGCATTTGTACCTGCAGACCACTGATGGCACTACAAATGGCAGTATGTTTTACTTTTTATTTTCAACCTGCAAAGAGAAGGGAAGGCGTTGAAAATACTGAGTTGGGCCTTAAGATTCGGTTCAGTCCTCACTAGACGATGCAGTTCCTGACTCCCCACCAGCATGGTGGCAATTTTTTTCCAGTCAGGTATTGGTAAAGTAAGTAGGTATCATGGTTGGGTTTCTGTCTGGCCAAGGACAACATGAGTAATCTTATCCGGCTGGGTCCTGTTTTAGGTATAAGCACTCAGTGCAAGGGAAGGATTGCCTATGTAAGAACCAGAACTGGCTGAAGGTTTTTAAAGAAACCTGCTTCAGATTTAAAAAAAAAAAATTTTTTTCACTGAACAGATGTTCTGGAAAGATTTTTACTGCCGTGAAAAAAGATGTAAACAAAATAAAAACAAGTATTTTTGTGTCTGCATCCAGGAGTGGGTTTGTCTGGTTTTTGGGAAAAGAAACCAAACCAACAAACAAGCAAAGAAATGTGCTGAAGAAAGGAAGCCACCTAAAGATAAGAGGCTGCAAGGATGGCTATAGTTTAATGACAGCAGGCTTTAACCTGAAGACTTCAGAGAGGCCAAGAAAGGCCCTGAAGCTGGAGCAAAAAAGGTACCGGATGTTGTAACAAAGTCTGTGGAGCAATGACCAATTTTATATGTGAGCATGGGGTATGAATGTGTGTGAGTGTGTACTTGTGTGAGAGCAAGAGTGGTGAGAAAGCGGAGGGTTGATCTCTGATTTTCATTGCAAACTGGAAAAGTATAGTAAAACTTCAGTGGAATAGATTTGCACAACATTTCATTAGTTCCTCCTTGATTTTCACATTTTTGTTGATGCTTTTTGGAAGCACTTTCATGCAATTGGCCTTCGATTCGGATGAATGGTAGCAAAAGGGATCTGACCTGAGGATTGCCTTCCAAGCTGTCACAAATACCTGACACCTAAGTCTGCCCTGTTTTGTCTTTCACAGTTAAAAATCATACAGCAGTTACCAAGTAATCTGAATGAGCCATTGGTGGTGTTACAGGCATATATATCCTTTCAATAGCCTCTACCCTTTCAGTCTTGTATCTCCCTCCTCTTTTTTACCCTGGGAAGAAAGAGTACAATGAACTCATCCGTGGTGCAAAAAGATGTGCAGGCTGCATTCCCTTCTTTCCCTGAGGAAGGCTTACCCTGGACAGCCCTGTCCTGGGAGATGGGGCACGTAACCATTTCACTTGGCACAGGGCACCTGTGGGTCTACTGCACAAGTTTTGACACCAAAAGGACTTCCCAGTGCTGACGAAAGCCTCTGTCCTGGCACTATTCCCATTGAAGATGAACGCTTACATACTGGTTTGTTTCGAAGCTTTGCTTAGCTATCTGTTCAGGGTGCTGGGACCTTGGCAAGAGAAGAAAAATTTGTAAATAAAATAACTGATATTTATTGCTTGCAATATCTAGCCTCTTTGAAGTTTGATACCTACAGACACACGCATATAAATGGGGGGGAGGGGGGGTGTCAGAAGAAAAAGTCCACTGATCTGATCCTTTTCCATTGTGTAAATACTTTCATCATGTTCTTGGAAAGTAACAGAAATATTTCCAGCTTATCTATTTCCCTTCAGTCTGAGCTTTTGTATCCAGCAGCATCAAATATTAATGCCAACACAGCTCTGGGAAAGTGAAATAGTTGCTGCTATTAATGTTGCTCCGTAAGTCCCAGAAAAGGAAGGAAGCACCTGAGCTCTCTGGCCTCACCAGCAGAGGTTGTTTGACCAGTGTTTTCCTTTTTAGTTAACATTGTGAGAAAGGCACTATGTGTCAGAGGGGGTGGGATGGCTTTTAGAAAGGTGTGTTGGGTTTCCTGGAAGTGGAGACTGGGGTGAGAAACAATCTGGTTTTCATATGGTCTTAGAACATATAGAGAGTGAAATTTTAAACACCATGGGGAGAGTGAAGCTTTAAAGACCATTTTAAAGGCATGTAATCTCCATGGTCCTGCATGAATGGCTTCCTCTTCCAGCTTTGATCTTCAGGCATGGTGTCACTGATGGGGAAGAAATTAGGAGAAAGGTGCCCTGATTTGGAAATAACATCTGTGGAAATTCAGACCTCCATTCTGCAACAAGGCCGGGGTCAGAGGTTTAGGACTGGGGTTTTGCTGAGGTTCTGTTGCAGGCAACGAAAAAAGATTTCTGAAGGCCAGCATGCGTATGTGTAGCATCCTGCTTTTCTCCTATTCTAAAATGGTCTTCCTAGCAGTAAGACCTCCTGCTGCTGATGGCTTATTTGGAGTCTCCTGAGCCAGCGGTTCAAGGGCTCTTTGGATGCTTGACACTGATAGCAGGAGCCATGTTTCAGGTGACCATCCGCCTAACATGGACATTTCTTGTGAAGAATGGGCCTTAACTGTATTACACAGAGACTGTTCCATCACTCCCTTACAGAGGGAGTCACTAACAGTGATCTAGAATGCAGAACTGATGTGACACCATGCGGTAGATATAATGTGATTTGAGAGTTGGAAGATCAGGTACAGTTTACTTCGCAAGAGCCTGTCTACACCAACAGTGCTAAAGCAATCATAGCAACTTCCATAACACGTTTCCAAGGCTGCCTTCTTCCACCTTGATGCCTGGTGGTTAATATCTGACAGCGCATGACAACAAGAAGCCAGTTTCTTATAGTGAGGTCCAGAACTAGAAGCACACAAGAACAGCATGACACAATGCCTTCCATGCAAAGTCTCCAAGCACATTGCAGACACTCCGGCAATAAGTCTGGCAATGTTCCTTTTAAATATAATACAGCATCTTCCTCCTCCATAAATGTGTAAACCAAGGAACACAGCAGACTGCATTGTCTGAAGCTGGAGAGCAAAATCCTTGCATTGCTTGCAGCAGAAACCAACTGTCTCTCACAGGTGCTCCTACCATTCCCTAAGGAACACAGATTCCTATATAATTACAGCCACTTACCCTCTGCCCTGCCACAGACCCATTTTGATGTTTCCAGGTATCTCCTTTATTGTGAAAGAAAGCACTGATGGTTTTGGCAGCAGATTCTGGAGAGGGTTGGGGCTGCTCCCTACCTGATGGGAATGCTGTTGCGTGTCCACGTAATCTCCGGCTCAGGGTATGACTCCACTGCACAGACAAACTTGGCGACGTCCTCTACCAGCGCATCCACAGTTTCCAGCGGAGTGCTGATGAAGGGAGCTGTGTGAAGGAAGAGAAAATGAGAAAGCCTCCCTGTGTGTCCGAGAGAGACGCATGAAGCCTGCCCGACCCCTTTGGCAGAGATAGCCATGTCCCAGCAGGGTCACTCCATGAATTTTTTGCCAGCGCAGAGGTGCTTTGCATCCCCTCCATGCATTCACTATAACACAAGTCCCACCACATTTGTAGCTGCAGCCTTCCGCTGTTTGCTGCAGGTTTTGCATTTTCAAGCCTGTGTTTTCTCTACAGGGTGCAAAACAGAGTGACCCAAGCTTGGGCCAGCTCCAACAAGCCCAGTGTGTCCCTTGTTTCTAACCCTCCTCTCCCCCAGGGTGCACAGCACCGGGTGGCATACTGAGAGGACACAGGTGAGGATGTCCCCCTGCTACAGGTGAGGCATTGCACAGCCTGGAAGTGCAAGGAACAGCCCACTAATTGAAGCCAATCTGACTTGCCCTGGAGTGGGCACAGTGCCTCCTTATTAATGCATAATGCATGAGATTTGGGCTGCTTTGTCATTAATACGAGATTTGTTCCACTCAACTATTTCTTTTTAAAAAAAAAAAAAAAAAATATAGCACTGCATTTTTCAAATCCAGGCATGTAAAGGCCCTTCAGCTCTTCCAGATTTGTGGCATGACTAGCATACATTCTCTTTTCCTCACCTTTTCTAACCAGGTAGCACCAGGGTTAGAAGACAAATAGCTGTGTCTGATGCTTATTGTCACAGACCTGTCACCATACATTAGTTGAAGGTATCTTCAGAAACATTTTCCATTGCCCTGGTAAAAGACTTGAAGCACGTTTTCAAGGGATCAAAGGATAGGTCTAGCGAATCGCTTTCACTCTGGATGGTATGCATTGCAGCCATTGCCTCTAAAGATGCTTGAATGACTTTTAATCTATGGCTTCGAGGGACATACATCCAATATTCATTGGGCTGGATTTCATTGTCAGCTGTGCTGAGATGAACTAGTTCATACCATGTTCCCAAAACACAACCTTGAAAATGTACAGCGGACGCAGGAATCTTCTCGTTCCTCGCTGACTGTAGCAGTATCTGGCACACTGTGTGTCTTTTCACGGGACAATCCTGCCCGCACTGTGGCCCTCTTCATTATAATAAGATTTAAATTCAGGCAAAAAAATAAACTATATCAATTTTAGCCCTCCCTCCTAAAAACCAAAAAGGCAAATACAAGACACTCCAATTTAGGCAACTAAGAACAAAGGAAAGCCTTTACCTTAATGCTTTTTCAACTTACATGGGAGTAAAAATTAGAATGTCGTTGGAGTTCAGCTGGAATTAAGCTAGAGGAAGAAAGGATCTGCTTCCACTATAAGGTTTATGTAAAAGTCCTAATGCTTTAGAAATGTCATTAGAAGGAATCTGCCTCAATAATATTTCTAGATTACATGACTTCAGATTGCATAATCGGTAATTACTATACTTATATAGAAAGATCTTGAAACTACAGCTAAGATAGCTCTAAAGATTTTATTAACTAGACATTAGTTAAAACACACCTGTGTCAGACTCTTTGTTGAAGATCACTGCTTCAAATTGTATTAGACTTCAATTTCTTGGGTCATTTTGGGTCACACTAGATAGAAGTAATCATCTGTATTGTACCCCAGATGAATCCTACACCAGTGAAACCAAATGGAAGATTTTCATAAAGCCTAAATTTCTCTGCTGCTGAAGGTTTTCTTAGGAGAATAACCTCCCCCGATGGCTGTCCTGTCTACTTCAAAGGGGATGTTGCTATTTCATGACACAGTTTATTGTGTTTTGATGGCATTAAGCCTGGCTGAAATGGAGTTTTACAATCTAATTTCATATAGTATGTTTTTATTGCTCTTGTCTGCATGCCTTGATCTCTGGAAGGATGCTTTTTTAACCCTGAGAAATGTAAATTTTTACAGTAACCAAAATTCAAAGCAAGTAGTTTTCTAGATGTCTTGTCATGATAAGCATAGCCATTCCCACAAAGAATAAAGTTAGATTTGTACCAAGAGCCAGTATGCATAATGACAGTATTTTACTCTTTGGGCAAACAACTGCTGTCAGTTTTATGTATTAAATAAATTCACTAGCAACAGTTAAGTACTTTCATGGTATCTCTTAAATTCAATGTACAACAGAATTATCCTTAGCAATATTGCCAACATGGGGTCTGATCTGGCATTTCCTGAAAGCCAGCACTCAGGACTTAACCTATGGTAAAAGCAGAAAGGGAACTTTTTTTTACAGCAAATTCTACATGCTCAAAGAGCAACCATGACAATGTGTCATTTTCTTGTATGCTCTTTTTTACCTTTCCCATATTAAAATGGAGGCTGGGCCAGCAGGGAGGTGAAGGCAGTGCTCCTGTTGACGGGGTGAGTGGGCAGAGGGCATGAGGCCAGGGGACACACAGTGCGTCTGGGGGTGGCGGAGCACGCCGCCATTTTGTCGTAAGGCAGCGAGAGACAACCAAAATGGCTGAGATGGTCCCTGCTTCTAAAAGCTGTCCAAAAAGCTCAGGTGTTGGTATCAGTCCATGTTTTCTCAGGAAAGCAATCAAAACTTATGAAGCTTTCATTACCAGATTTTTAACATGGGAAAATAAAATCCAAACAGCATACAGACATATCTATCAGCATATAGAAATGGCCCCAGACCTTTCTGTGCGCATCCATTGGGGCTCTCTGAGGTTTTTTAGGTAGCCCCATGGCTTTAAATAACATTGAAAATCAATTAACTTATATATCTGTAAAGCCACACAGGTGCCATTTTTCTGGATGTCAGCTGTAGTTTCCCGAGATAGCAAAATGACCCAAGGCCAGTCACAGGGCCCATGAAAAAGCCAAATCCCCTTCTCTCCCCAGCCCACCAGCAGCTCCCAAATTGCTTGGCTTTGGTTTTGGACTGACAATTTCAAAACAAGACAGGCCAGGCAAACAAAACAAAGCAGAAAACAGAGCCAGTCTCCCCCTCAGCATTGCAGATGCCTGGAGATACTGCAGATCGCTGGTCAAAAACTGCTCAATCGTGTTTCCAGCTAATGCTGCAAAACCTCTATAGGTCCCCGCTGGGCTCTAGGCGTGTTTCAGCCTTGCTCAGGGAACAAGGCAGTTCATCCACCGATGACATTTTAGGAGAGGATGCGTATCTCTTCATTGCACTGTGCCACCAGGAAAAAAAATCAATCCCCTTCCTCTTTGCTTTTCTTGTCTCTCCAATCCCGCCTTACCACAGCTTTCAAAAAGTCTGGGGTTCACCAACTTAGTTTAGTGCCTTAGAAAAAAATCAACGTTTTTCTTTCAAAAGTTTTTTATAAAGAAGAAACCTTTTTTTTTCTTTTTTTTTCCCCATTTTGAGGCCAACCTGACTAACAATTGTAGGACCACAGCCCTGCAAGAGCAGCAATGTTGACCTAACAGGTGAATACTGCCATCCTCCTTTCAGGCCATTTTTTTCTTCCTGAAGCTGCAAAGTTTCTGGTATGCTTTGAATGGCTCCTGACAATCACCATACAGCAAAACCTTTTATCCACAGCCTTACAGGAGGGTACATCCAGAAGACCACTGTTGCACTTCGTACCTCAAAAACTTTTCTAAATGGATTTTTGCCAGTTCTTGCACTGGCTAAAAGTACGTGTATGTGTGTCCATGTGTGTGCACACAAGAGAGGAAGAAGATATAATAACTTTTATGTTATATGCAATACAACCATACATATTTGTATTTATATGCATACACTCTGTAAAGGCATTATAGCTATTTACTTCTTTGAGCTTTATATATTTGTAAGCACACACGGGCATGCAGAAGACCACAAATCTTGGGCTCTGCACCAATGGGTGCTACCAGCCATTAAAACCTGCAAGCTTCCTTTGACATGAGAAATGTCCATCCCACCCAGGCTGAACTCAAAGATGTCCCCTGCCCATTACAATGGGACTATGTGCTCTTCCTAGACAAAGAATCTTCAATCCCAGACACAAATATGAGATTATTTTCACTGCTATCCTTCTAAAAGCAATAAAGTGACCACAAAAAGCAGCACATTTTTGTCCTTTTCAGGAACACTACTGCACCACCCACCCCACCATTACCAGAGACACATTCTCCTCTGCAAAACCTCCTTCAGCAAGTGGCAGAAGCAGAGCAGGGCAAAAGTCCCTTCAAGCAAACCTTTTGGGAGCATCTCGGCCAAGCTGAGGGCTGCCAGGGTGAGGACGTGCACCAGGGGCACCTTCAGCAGGTCATTCATGTTTGATCCAGAAGGCATCTGGCTCCTTCAGGCGAGGCGTGCGGAGCTCCCGGCCGGCTGCATTTCGGATGGTGGTGCGCGAGCAGAGCTTCCCCGCTAATGACGGAGCGAGGTCTGTGGGATCTAAGTATAATCAGGAATTCTCCCACCCGGCAGCAGTGATGGACATGGCCAGCTGGTGCGTATCCACTTCGGTCAGTGTGAAAGCGTGGGGCTCGTGAAACAAGAGAAAGCAAATCCCTTCTGAATTCCTTCTAAGCAAACAGAGGGGAGTACAATGGGCAAAATGTATTTCCATGGCAGTACCCTACCCCCGTGCTGCAAAGTCACCAGGCCTTTATTTCAGCACCGTGTAAGTGCAGTAGTAGAAAAAATGCTTGCCACTGACTTTTCCTTCAGCATAGTCCCCTTCTTTTTCATTTTTTCTCCTCTCTCTCTCTCGCACGCGCTCCCTCTGTCTTATTTTAACCTTTCATGATTGGCTGCAATATGCCACCTGTTGCCCTGCTGATAGCATTTCTTTTCTTAACAGATGTATTTGCTGCAGCAGGAGAGGTTGGCACTGGGGGCTGAAAGTGCCCTTCTTTGCCAGGGAGGTTGTCAGTGTTTGAGAACCACCGCAGAACACTGAAAAAGCAGATCCTTGTCCTGGAAACAGACCCCCCACAAAGTGAATATCCACAGTGGGAGCAACATTTATACCCTGGGAGAAAAGGAGCATTTCATTTCAACATCAGCAGCGGCCCAGGGGATTTGGGCACAAGGTAGAGGCATGGCTGTAGGGGAATATGACTGTTGGGTACTGACATTATTAATCCCTCACAAATACTTTATTATCCACCAGGTCTCTGCCTCAAGCAAAAGACTGAAAATCAGAGCTCTAGGAAGATTTAGAGGAGCATCGGACATGAGGCAATCCTCTGACTGACCATCTTGCCCCATCCTAGCCTAGCAGTCTACATGACATCATCTTTTTTAAAAATGTCATGACATTTGTACTCCCTGTTTTTCCAGTGTAATGGGAGAGGCAACTTCTGCATGAACAGAAGAGAAAAAGAATCAGGCTGGGGAGAACCTAATTGATGATGATGCCCTGGGAAGATGACTCTAGATAGTCTTCATCATGTTATCAGCAGAGAGGATGTGAGCTTTGCACTAAAAGGCATGGTTTGAGGAAAGGGAATGTGCAGTCATAACATGTCACAGTAAAAGGTACTATGAGATCTCTGGAATTTCTTTTATTTGCTGAACCTGTCTGTTTCAACCACTTCTTAACAGTCCTTTCTGCAATGAGCACACATAGTTCAGCAGCGCTTCCTCTGAGGAATGAGTGGAGTAAAGCTGGCCAGAGCTATGCGTGTGTGAATCTCAATGGTTCAGCATGGCGTGATAATGGCGACGTTACTTTGGGGACATGCAACAGCTGATTAGGAGCAAAGATCCCTAGACAAGTGCTCCTCTGAAGATAGATAAAGGCAGAAGCACTCACTGAACATGTGTTAAAGATCTTCCAGGAATTCTGGAGCTAGCAACAACAACAAAGCAAAACAACAAAACAAGAATTAAATAACAATAATCTTACCAGGGAACAGAGAAGTCCTGACTTATGGCTGAACTTACAAATATTTCTTCTGTTTTGTTTAAGTCCAATCTCATCCAATTAAACTGCTCCGTAGAAATGCAACTTGGTCTTTTAGGATAAAATTCTCTCCATGGAGGGACTTGACCAAAGACCTCTACAACACTGTCTGGGCTGTCTCAAAAATTTGTATTTCCCTTTCATTTCTTAATTACAGCATTTAGAAACAACACTGGCAGTGATGGCTGTTAAATGGTACTAATGCTTTTACATTTTTAGGATTACCAAACTGCTCCTAATCTCTCATTTCCTCTGCTTGGTAAATTTTCATTAAGGACTACAGTGAGCTATGCTGCTCTAAACTGAAAGGATGTGAATTTGCATTATAAATGGCAGTAGAGAGGATACACATGCACAAAGTGGAGTTATTTTGTTCTCCAGCTACACATGCCATACAGCTAACAAACAATATATATGGGAAGCTGGTGATCATCTGTGCCTGGCCTGGAAAGATGTTTCTGCGTAACATTAAATCAGTGGAAATGAAATACCAGTGACACCAAATTTTCTTTGATTCCAGGCTTACCTTATAAAAGTAAAATGCTCCTTTAATTTTTACTCCCAGAACTTATGAGTTTGATGTTTGTTGGTTGTTGGGGGTTTTTTTTCTAACAAATCTGAGATGGATACAGTTTAGAGTGAATTGTTATTTACAGCTGTTGTTATTTGTAGTCATGCCCCAAGGCCTCTGCCAAGATGAAGTCCCAGCAGCCTACACAACTAATAACAAGAAGCAGTCCCTGGCTTTCATGCGTTGCAGGCAAAGCTTTGTTCCCACAAAGATTTGGGCAGCAGCTTAGCTCTCTGCACTGCAAACACCTCCACGGAAGTTGGTTCATGAAATTTGGTGCACAAAGACGAGGTGTCCTGGAACATTCATTCATCTAGCTACCATTTTTCCTCTTTGCAAATTGTTTGCAGAGTGAGTTTTAATAAATATTTATTTTTAATAAATGTATATATGCAAAGAAAGTCAGAATTCTTGAGAGTTTGCTGAATACTTCAGATAACCGTCCTCCAGTTAATGAACTGCTGGCATCTCCCCACCACAATGAGGGGAAATTTGCTCTTCACTGTATTTGCAGGACAGGACCAGACCCTTTTCTCTGTACACCTCTTCTCTCCCTCCTTCTTCCAAGTGCTCTGCTGGAGGCTGACAGTTTTACATGCTAATGAAATACGATTTGATCACTGGATACTTTGAAAACCAACTTGTGCCCCACATCACCATATGGGATGTCTTCTCCCTAGATAGTCCCAGATGTTCATCCAAGTAGACAGGCTAGGGTGGGTACTGCCAGCAGGAAGTGTCCAGTCAGGGAACAAAGTCCTTCTGCAGAGGGACCCAATCAAGTTGCTTTTGGCAATGGCCTCAGTCACCCACCACCTGATGATTCACACAGAAATATCCAAGTCAGCACTAACCCAGCCTGACCAGTGACCATTTTAATGCACTGTCATGAACGTTGGTGCTGGCAACCTTCCTGAGGAAATACAGGGGCCACTGATCTTCAGCTTTGGTGCTTCCGGTCCTGCAGTCACCCTTTTGAACGCAATAAAGACATAGTCTCTGAAGCATGAGACCAGATCTGAGGCCAGGCTATTTTTACTTGCTTTAGAGCAGCAACAAGAATCCCTAAAAATTACTAGGTCACTCGTATTCTGCTCAATTCATATATGTAACAATCAAGCCAGAAAAGAGCAAGCCCTAACCTGCCAAGGTAACAGAAGAGTACAGAGTCAAAAGACACGTGTTCTTCAAACCCCCAGCTCCCATGTCACGGCTCCAAGCCTCTTCTACTTCGCACAGAGCTCAGAAGGATGTATACTGTGTGGCCTTTCCCCAAGATGCATGCATGCACGTGTCCCTGCATGCACTAACCCCCTGCCTGGCGCACCCTTGCTGCTTTCCTCCTCAAAGCCTCCCAGATACCAGCATCCTCACAAAACGTTTGACAGTGAAACCCATCTGACCATGTGGGCTGGCACGTGTGCCTTCCTACACAGAAATGAATCAAGGTTGCATTGCCGTAGGGTTATGGGCACACCAGTCCTCCCAGTCCACCCTGCCCACACTGCCAGCAGAACCTAAACACAGCACACACTCCTGGGTGTATGGCACAGAAGGGGCACATCTGACAATGCATGCCAGCATTTGGGGAGGAGGAAACATGTTTTAGCTCTTTTATTACACATTGCAAGTCCCTTCTTCACAGTGATCTTGAGTGGAAGCAGCTGTTACAGCCACCAACTCCAAGGGATTTAACCAAACCTACAACACATATATGGCCAGTAAGGCATTGTTGCTTGTGTCGATAATATCAAATGCTGTATTCAGTGTAACATGTGAGGGAATAAGCTATGTTGCTGCTGTTTTTTACCCTACGCTTTTGGGTTTTCTTTGTTTGGGGTTTGGAATTTTTTAATTGTCAAATGAAGGAAAGACTTTTCTCTAAAGTCCTTTAAGAAATACAGACCCATCCCAAAGCCTCACATGTTGTGTTTAAGTTGCAGGGTTTCAGGCACACTTGGCTGCCTCTGCCCTCAGCCATCTGGACCAGTCTCTGAACTCCTAGTTATTTCAACACGTTCTGAGCTTTGATGCCTGAATCTAAAAAGATCCCATTTGCTCCTCTTGAGATTTTGTGGGTATTGGGAAACCTAAGATCTGCATTAATTTCATCTTGCTATAAACTTTCCTGTAATTTTTCAGTTCACAGGACCTGCCAGTACTGACTAAGGCCAATCTAATATGCTGTCCTATGTTTTGTGGTGGGACAAAATTATGTAGTCTTATGAAGTGAAATTATTGTAGTAAAATAGTATAAATAGTGTAATGAAAGACGAAGATCCCTTGTAATGCAGTTGCTAACTGTGCACTGGTGTAGGTAGCAGAGAGGGTGAGCTGAATGCAGGTATTTTGTAATATATGAAATTAATTTCTCTACTGGGAGACCTGCCCCCTATTTCACCTTGCTGCCCACAGCAGCCAGCCCCACATCATAACACGGGGAAAGCTCAATAACCCCTTCCTCTTTGTGAGGGTAATGCTGTTGCTGTGTTGAACTGGGGGGGGTGTCAGAGATGCTCATGTTTCCCCAAATAGGGATGTCACAGGCAAGTACAACCCTTGTTCCCCAGCCTCTAATTTCAGTCCTTCATCCTCTGGCTGCCACCAGCAGAGTGCAGTCTGTGGGGCCAGGGTGGCTGCCAACGCACAAAACTCGCTCTCCATCACACATGGTACCGCAATCTGTCAAGCGAGAAACAAGACCTGGATTTAGAAACAGTTATAGCAGAGCCCCGAGAAAAACCCCCAGGGAAGCAGGAGAAGGAGGGATGCGGTGTGGATTTTCAGGCC